GGCAAGGAAATGCTGAATATTTTATTACAGAATAGTATGTGGAGGTGGGAAGAACAGAAGGCAAAATAAAGTGTGCCTTCTGTGCAGGGTCCTCAGACAGAATTATAAATTGAGATTGTGCTTGGCTGTGTTAAACAGAACTAGCACTAAGCAGGGCAGAAATGGATTTTCTTCAGCAGTTTCACATAATGGGTTTGGTAGGTTTGAGAGATGCTTTTGCTTAATGGTCAATCCATTGATGTAGAGCCTAAAGACAATTTTTTCAATCAGGCAATAAACTGCAGCTGTAGGAAAGTCTGGTAAGTCACTATTATATACGTGCAGAACTCTTCAGATTGCTAAGGACATGGCAAGTCTCTTACCTAACTTCATTAATTCTTGTATCTCCACCTAGATTTATTAGGCCTTTGAAATAAAAAACCTCCCTTCATACTTCACAGTGTCATTCAAAAGATAAGTAGGTGGTTTTGGCTCACAGACTGTATTCACCACAATAATTTTAACAGCTCTTTCCCCCTCCTAATTTTCCTTCATTTTCCCCTTTCAGAACCTAATAATGCAGATAAATAATAAGGATTATTCTTTTCAGCCTGAAAGTACTTCTGAAAAACTGGACACAACATCCTCTCCCTTACCAAAAAGAATAATTTTTGAGGGGTTTCCTGTTGTTTAGAGATGTATTGATGTTTGGTGATAGTAGCTGCACAGCCAGGTATTCTTCTTGCATACAACAACTGAAGGAAAAAGTACCCTCAATTCATGCAATACACTGTTTTGCAGATTCTTTTCTATTTCATCAAATTGAGCATAGTTGAAGAAATTCTGTATTCTTATTCAACCATTCCCTTCAAAATAAGACAGAGATGAGAGGGGAGGTGCATACAATGATGAATTGCTTGCCAAACTTATCTCTGCCCATCCTTTAATATTTATAAATAAATTATAGCTTGGCATTTCAGAACCAAAATCTCCCCAGTCCCCTCAAGTATCCAAAACACACATCTTCCATAAAGCAGGCTCCAAGTGAAAATTATGACCACCTTTATGACAATGTTTCTCTCTGCTGCTGAGGGAAATACTAACAGCAGTGATCCCAGTAACTATGGATCTAGACTTTGCAGGATGTACCTCAACACAGTTAGAAAGGAACTGCTGTAACTCTCCCTTCTGGAAAAAAAAAGGCTCCTTGAGAAAGGTCTACCCATGGCACTGACTCAATCTGTGCAATTCTAAACTAACTTCACCAATATATACCTAATCAAATAGCTGTATGTTTTTTTAATAGCTGCCTAAGGGATGCCTGAAGCAGGTAGAAATAAAATTAAACAAGAAATTCTGAGAGAGTTTTGCTGGCAGCAGAGGAACAAGATTCTTCTATTAGTCCACTGTCCTGCCACGGACTGTCACAGGCCTGGCTATAGATCTTGAGCAGGTTAAAAAAGCTCAATTAACCTGCATTTTCTGCCTTAGATTTAAGGCAGCCCATTCTGAAATGTTACAAGGTATTTTAAAAATAAAAATGCATTTATGCTGTCTTGACTGTTTCAACTTTTAAATTTAAATAACACTTATGTCACCCCTAGGAATCTGCTTTAAAAGCTGAAGCAAATAATCAGAAGTTATTTGCATTAAAGAACCAATAAAACACTTATTGAATTGTACTTTTCTTAGAAACTGTGATGTATTCTACAAATGGTACACAATAATCTTCCTGACTACAAAACCTTCAGTGGCATGGTTCTTAATAAAAGAAGGGAGAAATTAGCAACCCAAAGTGCTGGAACAAAGAATTACTCCCATATCAAATCATAAATGCCTGAACTGGCATTGAGCGGGACCTTCAGTTAGGTCACAAATTGAACATATTCACTTCATTAGTCACTTAACGCATAGAATTTTCTCTCTTCCTTTGTGTGCTGGATAAGAACGTCATTTAAGTGATTATTTTCTGGAGGTGGAACATTTATGCAGGCTTAGAAGAGCACAGCTGGCAACAAGAACAACAAGCTAGTCTCAAAGCAGTTTTAAGGGACTGAGCATATGCAAAACACCTGAAACAGGGCTCCAATATCTAAACAAACTACCTCAGCTTAACAAGGTACTACCTATCACACTCTCTGTAACAACTGACTGCAGATATGTTTCAAGCCTGTGGCTAATGGAAAAGTACTTTCTTACTGGTGTTTGGGCCATCAGCTGGATTAACTAAACTCACAAGGCTCATAGTTTCCCCTGTTTAGATACTCTGAAACAAGGATTCCTGCCAATATTCCTG